TTAATTGTCTGAGATACAGTAAATGGTTTTGGTTATCAGCTTGAATTGTCAACTCTCATTGGCTTTTTTATTTGAATATATTAACATTGTTTAGAGGTAGAGATAATTTCAAGCTTGATTCTTAGTGAATACCTGGATACATTTCATTTTCTTGGCAAATTACAGAAGTGTCTTGTAATATATGTTTTGTATTTTTTGGCTATTTTATTTCATGGTATAGCTGAGATCCCTGAGTCTTCCTGGTGGTTTTATCATTTTAAATACCAACCAGGTTCCACTATGTGATTTCTATAGTCAATATTGATTCTGTGCTGCCACCTCTCATGGCTTAGTTTTTTACCTTGTGCCAAATGTGTTGTTCCTATAAATGTTCAGTGATGTATAAATTAATCTTAAGAGTATAAGCTTTTAAAAAACGTATACAGTAATACCATATATATTTCTTTAATTTCAGAATTGATATATTCTTCTTTCCAGTATAGTTTGCCTTCTTTAATGTCAAGTATCATTTTTGCTGATGTTTGGTTATTCTGTTTGCAGGTTGAAACATTTTCTGGTGTATACAAGAAGCTGACGGGCAAAGATGTTGTGTTTGAGTTTCCAGAATTTCAGCTGTAAAGTGCAAAAACTATATGTCAATTAATAAAAGTTAATTCTTCATATTTTTTAATGTCATGCTTTTTTAAAAGTATGAAACTAAAATTTCTATACATTTGGTTTGTTGATGAAAAGATGACATAAATAACAAATTTATAGCTGTTCAAAGTACATAACTGAAAATCATGATTACAATTAGGTCTACTGTGACATCAATATATTGTGGCACTATTGAATAATAAAACTCTTTCCTATTGAGTGACAAGAGAGCTAAAGAACTTCTGTGATACTTCCCTTAAAACTTCAAAAAACCTATCTTTTAATTTTAAGTTTCCCAAAAGTGGAGGCAAGAGAGTTAAATTATACTGAAAATGAAAGCATACATCTAAATACTGAATCCTGAAAATTAATATTCCAGGATTCTGTAATGAAAGGACCTGAAACATTTGGTTTAGTGTAAAACCTAACAAATTCATTATGTCTTGGTTTGCCACCAATAAATTTCACCTAGACATATTACTAAATTATTTGGCTATGCCAAATGTTTTTAATGTCCTCATTAGAAGAATACTAAAGCAACTTGGACTAAAGCAGTGTTTTTCAACCTTGACCATTTTAAGGCATATGGACTTCAACTCCCAGAATTCCACAGCCAGCAATGCTGGCTGTAGAATTCTGGGAGTTGAAGTCCACATGCCTTAAAATGGTCAAGGTTGAGAAACACTGGACTAAAGCAACCTGTTACATTTAATGCTTCAATAATATTTTTGGGTTATAGAACAGGTATGTTTTCACAGATTAATCATATGTGAACATTTTTAGAGATGTGAAAGAATGGTTGGAGTTAAGTAGGGTGTCATTAAAGAGTTTTTGAATTGATTTTCCTAAAAAGAGTAAAACTTCAATCCTATAACCATTTGCCTGCTGAGTTTGGGTCTTCTGAATGGATACCTGCATGGCTATAATGTAAAGCATTTAAGGCAGCAATCCCCAAACTTTCCAGCTTGGACCAGTGGGAGGGGATGGTTCCATGCAAGTGGTGGCATGTACACAACTCCATTTGCGCGAATGGTGCTTGCATGTGCCCACTACTTGCACAAATGGAGCTTTGTGCTCGCTTGCTGTTTGCATGGCCCGATTCCAAACAGGCTGCAGCCCAGGACCCCTGACTTGCAGAAAAAGTTTCTCAAATCTTTTTTGTGTTTGAAAATACCTAAAAGTTGACTTACAGGTTATGTTATATATTCTATACTTGGTGGCAACAGAGCACCTAATGTATGCATTCCATAAACTAACAATGATGTTAGTGAAAGTGACACCCTGCTTTGCTCTATTTCCTTTAAACGAAACATATTTGGAAGAATGTGAACTAAGCAAACTGCATTTGAATTCTCACAATTGCAGATTATTTTGGTCTATTTTTTTATCCATTTGCCCTCACTGAGTGATCAAAGGACTACATTTGTGTATGTGTGCATATGGAGGCTTAAAATGGAAAAGGGAAAGATACATTGCAAAATGAATTTGTCCTCATTCCCAGAACCATTGCCAAAAGAAACTCTGCAAGCTCAGTCGGCTGATATGTTTTTAGACTTCATGGGAATGCTGGAGATGGTGTGAGCAACATATAAAAAGCATAACTTGCAACTTCCCCCCCCCCATTAAAATGATTGTTTTGAAACAACAAAATTGTAAAATGGGCAAAATTTTGCCACTTCATTGGATATTAACTGTTACTGTGACTACAGTAGCAGAGTCTTAATACACTACAGACAAAATTCTTGATGGCATTGTGGGAAGTCTTATTTTCTGCCTAACATTTTAATTATTCTTCTGGGAATAGCATAGAACCCAAGAGTCTGGTGCATAGTATTCACTTGACCTTGCCATTTTTATAAAAACTTCCAAGGCATGAAATCAAGAATCTACATTAAAAAAAAAATTCTTGACCCATGGAAGATCTGAGTAATTTTATACTCTATGCCTTCATTTGGCTCAGCGTACGAAACAAAAATACTCTGAGATCCAGTTCTATCTTGACTGTTTTTCTTCTGAAACTTGTATTTTGTCAAATCCTTTGCTATATAGCCGCATATTAAAAGTTTTTCTCTATGTAGGAGTGGGGTTGAATGCAATGCCTAGTTGCTTTTATATTTTACAGAGATAGTTGTGGAATTTTTCAGAAATGGTACAATTTCATTTTCACTTAGCAGATTTTAAATCATGGAGATTTCAACATTCTGGACAATTGTTTTTTTTTTTTTTTAAAAAAAGGAATTTTCCCCTACCAAATACGATGCTGTAGTGCTTTCTTCAATTTGCCAAAGTTACCGTTTATATATTTTTTTATCATTGGCCAATATATGCCATAAATTCTAATTTGAAGGCCGCAGAGTATTTTGCAGTGGAAAATTAAAATGCTAGGTTGAACTTGTTCATGTCCTGGGTATCAAATTAACCTGTGGCAACTTTTTAATTCGTAGAGAGTACCCTGTGCTCTATGGCTGAAGTAATTTCTATTTATTAGAAAACCCAAATAATTGCCAAAGTGGATTCTTGAACAGTTCAGGTGCAAAAGACATTTGACATTCATATTCTGTCATTTCCAATGGAGAACCATCTGCAGTATCAAAATCTAGACATCAGTCTCAAAGCAGCTTCTACCTGGTTTAGCTGCAGCCTTTTCCTTAGTCTTCAGAGATAATAGCCCAAATAGCTGCTGAAAGATGAGGCCCAATAAGGTATTTCATTAAATATTCAGGAATAATGAAAATCAAAGATTTGCTGAGGACAAGAAAAAAGTGAGATGTCATTCCTTCATTTCCAGTAGTAGCTTTTCATAGATGTTGCTTCATGAAGAGAGAGCTGAGCATTCATTTGTTCAGGGAATAGATACCTCTTAGAAAAAACAACCCCACTTATTCTGTTTTTTTAAACATGCACTAAGGCAGTGGTTCTCAACCTGTGGGTCGGGACCCCATTTGGGGTCGAATGACCATTTCACGGGGGTCGCCAAACCACACTGTCCGCCATTTTTTTCCCTTTTCCCTAGCTGTCCTACTCCCTCTTCTTGGTGGCCACACCCACTTGGGGTCACCACAACATGGGGTACTGTATTATGGGGTCACGGCATTAGAAAGGTTGAGAACCACTGCACTAAGGGAACTGACAACAAAGCTACATGAATTTTTAAGTTCATATTTGGAAACTGAGCTTGAAACAATAGTTATTGACTGACTTAATCTGTCTGTACTGGAATAGATGAAATGATTAAATGCCAAGATTCCTTGAGTGGAACACAATCTAGGTGAATACATGGACACAATTGTCAATTTTCTTCAGCATGAAGAAAATTCCCAATGTTTTCTTCTACAATGTTTTATCAATTTCTCGGAGTAGGTTGTAGCTCTGAAATTCCCTAGTGGCCTCCCATTGAAATACTATCCCAGTCTTGTCTCTGTTTTTTCAAAATCACCCAAGGTCAATTAGGTGCTACAAGTCTGCTGTGGCATGTCATTCATTGTACACAAGTGTAGAAATTGTTAAGAAAGTTTTGCCACATGGGTTTAAGATAAAGACAGGGATGAACAAGGATGTCTAATTTAGATTTTTAATTCAAACATCTTTATAGATTTTAGATAGGAGTTTTGCAGCTTATCTCAGTAAATTTAGAGGACACTTGTTTGGGGTAAGTTATATTAAGGTAGACTGGCCATCTTTTGGTGGATGTACCCATAAACAGTTGGGCTTGCAGGATCCACAGTGAAGACAAGGGATATTGCTATAATGTGGATTCGAGGCAGAATTCTGGAGTGATCTTAGTGGGCTTTGACAATTTTTTAAAAAAAACTTTTAAGGCTATTTTAGGACAGATAATAGTCGTTGAAATTTTCCTATTGGAAGAAAACACGCCACCATTTTTCAGTAATGCTAGGGAATCAAGAAAATAAGTGGAAACTTCAAATTGCCTGGCGAAGCATAAAATAAAAGGAAAGTGTCTTTCTATCCAAGGCTGATGTTGAAGAGGGAATAATGCGATTCTTCTGTTTTCTGATGTAGTTTGTGCCAGACTAGGGCACTTTACTGAGTCTTTGTACTGCAGGCTGTTGAGGAACAACGAGGTTTTCTGAAATAGTCCATGAAATCATCCACATTTCTTGCAGAAGGAGGTCCTGGTATCCAGGGTTGTGCCAATTTAGAATAGGTATGTTACTGGATTAAAAATATCTGCATATGATGAGCTAATATGTTAAAAGAAGGAGCTGTGCAGAATCTTTCTGTTCATGGGGTTATTCTTGACTCTAGCCAAAGCTGCACCAGCTAGAATTCACCCACTCCTTACGTGTAACACTAATGTTTCTGGCATATCTTAGCTCTGGAACCTTATGCTCTTTCTGAATATCCATGCTCAAAACCCAAGCAAGGACTTAGGAAGACCTTTGCTCTACTAGGATCCTATTCACATGGCCGCTATCAGAGACTAGACATGAAAGAGTTAACAAAGGGGCTTCTTTTCATGGGAAGGCGAGAGGAGCAAAAAGAGAAGTGTCCTACATTCCCAAAAATGTGCCCTGCCAAAAGCAGTCGTTTATATCATGGGTCGTTGCCGCAGTTCCCACACATTTTGCTCCTAATTAACGTCCTGCTGGACAGCTGAGCTGTTTCAAACAGGAAGCTGTTTATAGATAACGCTTGCAAACAGTTGGGCCTGATTTGCTGAATGTCGAAGAGCAGGAGTTGAGCCCGCTTCAAATTAAAACCTATCGGACTTTTGTAAATAGTAGCAATGAGGTCCATCTGTGGTGCCGTGCCCTTTCAGTCAGCAGCCCAGCTACAACGCCTCTTCTCTCAGCAAATCTAAGGTAAGTGATGCTAAGATGGTTGTGCCAGCCAAACCCCTAGCTTAAAAGAGAATAGGCTGCATAACATTTCTTTTTCATGGAAGCTGGATAAAGAGACTACTGACTTTCAGATCAGGACTGAATTGGGATCGGTCTGGAATTGTTGCAATGTAGGTCATCTACTATAGAATACAGACCAGCTCATGTCTTTACATTTAAAAAGTTATTAAACATTTGAAATTGATTTATATAGTGTTCAAGATTGCATAGGAGTATATTTTTATTTTACACTGTGCTATTATAAATGAGTTTCTTTGTACAGAGTGTGTAGCAGAAAACACACACACAAAAAAAACAGCAAGGGTGGGGGTTTTTTTGAGGAGCTATTTAAGAGACAGATAAAATGCTACAAAAGCGCAAAGCAACTTGTAAATATCAAATTGAAAAGTTCAGTTCTGGTTCTTCCCTCTCATGTGTCCCCACATTGCTAAGAAATATAGAATATGAGCTATATTGAAGACTATGGAATATAGTAGTCCAAATTTATTTTTTCCTCTTAAGCAGCTACTAGAGATCTGGAGCATCCTTCCTTAAACCAGTCCTCTTCAAGTAGGCAAACCATAAAATTATCACTTCCAACTAGGCTATAATTTATAGTCTTTAACTTTTAACCCTGACCTCAAATATGTGACTGTACTTTGTGATCACTCAGGATTGAATGTGAGATACACATTCTCACAAACAAGTTTATTGTACTATATTACTATTGCTAACCAATTTTGGGAATAGTTCCCCCTGCTTTAGAAAAAAATGTGGACCAATATTTTGGTGCAGTTAGCTAAAATTAAGTGCTACTTTTTAAATAAGTCTATTTCAGGAAAAGGAACAAAACAGGAAGGCTAAATCTAAAGCAAGGTGAAAAAGCTTTGAAAATAGTGAAAATTGCAAATAGATGGGTTGGCAGAGTAGGAAAATGTTATGGAGATAAAGAAAAGCAAAAGAATCAGAAAACAGAAGATCACAGAAAAGGATGAATCCAAAATATTGCAACTATTTCTGTAGGCATTGAGAATTGTCTGTTTTCTCTCTAAGGCAAACAAATTTGTACAATGGATTATGTATTTCCCACCTTCTGAACTCTTTTCAGTCCACAAAAGAGCAAATAGTATGGAGAGGAATAAGTTATAGAGAAAATAAAATTCTTTGTTTCTTCCCATATCCTCTTTATTCTATCCTCCTACAGATTTATTTATTAAATTTATTAAATACATAAATTTATTAAAGCAAAATTCCAATAATTACATTACACATTTCAAGACACTGTTCAAAACACAGGTAGATTCTGATTTCCTGATTATATGGAGCTGTATGTCTACAAACATCTGTTTATGCTTGGAGTCTTGCTGAATTGGTCAATTCTGACAGGCATAACCATGTCATGTATTTTCACAACCCTCCTGACATGTTGCATACAATATGATGGCTACTTCAATACATATGAAAGGCTGATATCAGGAAAGATCCAGCTGCTCTGAAAGTCTATTACAATTGATAAAATTCACTAACCTGAGAAAAGAATGAAGAGATTAAGCAGTAGCTAATTTTAAAAAAACAAAATTCAAAAAGAAGGAAGAGTTGCTTCTTATCTTTGTCAGCTACACTATGCTGGTTTATTTTATTTTTAATATCAAAGGCTGTTGAGTTCTTGCACCATGAAAGTTAGCTTGCTGAATAATGTGTGATACACAGCAGTTTAATCCATGCTGATCCTTATTTAACATTGTTTTCTTGGTTTGCAAGACAGACATTCAACCATAAATTAATGATATGCACTCAATGATACATTAATTACAAGGTTCAGTTAATCTACTAGCTAGACTAAAATGTGGTTAGTTTGTACTTCAGCATATTGTACAAATCAAGTTATTATTGGAATGATATATTTATACTATTCTATACACCCTATCAAATACTTTGCCACCTAATGAGAAGGAAGGACTCAGTGGAGAAGAGCCTAATGGGGTCGGACATGACTTTGCAACTAACAGCAATACACCCTAACCCACACATAAAAAATTTGAACAGAAATTAAAGTCAGTAATAGATCAAAGTTTAGCTTCGATAATAGTTTAGCAGTGCCAGAATATAGGTAGCATATCATTTAGAGCTTTACCGAGAAGAAATTGTATTGCCCACAAGTTTATATGCCATCCTTGAAAATCCCAAATTAATCTCTTGATGTCCTGTTCCTAGAAGAAGATAGTTCAGTAATATTACAAAATTACAAGTGTGTTATAGAATTTGAGAACAGAGGACAGAAAGGAGAGTTCTTATCCTTTTCCCCAGTGCCTACAGTGCTCCTATCTTTGTGGCTAATCAAGATTAATAGAAGTAACTGAAAACTGAGGGGTGTGTTGGCATTTTTTCTTGCACAACTCTAGACACAGGTGCTTTTGCTTCAGTTGAAACCAAGAAAGATCTTAGTGATTATTTTTCTCTTAGCCTTTTCCTTCAATTTTTTAGTCAACTATTTTATACATTTTCCCATCTAATCATCTGGACTTGGGATTTTTCCCAAAGATGCTTGTTTTCCCTTCAACTGAATTTTTTCAGCAGTGTGGAAATATGTTCATGACCTCCCCAGGGAACCTTTATGTAGATCATTCTCACCATGCACTAAATTAGGTTTTTCTTTCCAATCTTTTTTTGTGAGTATATGTGAAGGACCGTTCCTTTTTTTTTTCTTGGGGATTTTGAACAAGTATACCAAACCAAACTCTTTTTCGTTGGTTTAAATATGGATTATGAGATCTAGGGGAAAATATATTTATATTACAAAGACTCTCACTCTGCTGAAACTTGAGTGTCCCTTCCCAATAAAATATATTATCAAAAAATAGCAACAATCTTTGCAACTTAGCTAACAAGCTATCATATATTAAACATATATTTTAATATGCTGTAAAGATTATTGTGTCCTTAGACGATAGTAAACATATTAGAATTCTCCAGTCTTTAGAATCCCTATTAATGGTTTATTCATTTTTCCTCCCTTTAGGAGTAAGGGACAAGCTCATTATGAAGAGTGATCTGGTTTTCTTTGTCTCTGTAATTAGCCTTGCATTCCTGTCTCTGCCAAGATCTGGATATGCTCAGCATATTGCAGAGGAATCCTGCTCTGTTCAGATTCTGGTTCCAGGCCTCAAAGGTAATATGTGTATCTTTTCCCATAAATGTCAGACATTCCTTCTTCATTTTTATTGTTCTGATGGCATTCTAGTAATTATTACTGAGCTTGCATTCTCTTAATGAAATAGGCCAACTTTTCTCTTAAGCTTTTCCTAGTTTGTGGCAATTGGCCTATAATAATGAAACAGTCATTTGAGCTGCAGCTTAAGCAAACAATCATAGAGGGCTTTGAAAGGTTATAATCAGTCGTTCCACAGAATTCCCGGTAAACAACCACACAAATCTTATTTGCTATACTAAGTATATCTAATTTTCTTGGATACTGGCCCTGGAGATATTTTCTGCTTCTCTATTTTTAGTTCCTCACTTATAAAATTTCATTTTTTTAGAACATACCTGCACACCATCAAAAAACTAACAAATATTTTATAAGTGAATGGGTTTAATTTGCATAAACAAAATGTAGAATTTGGAGGAGAGTAATCGGCCTTATTTCTCTTATTTTTTATATTCTTATTTTATAAATGTTGGCTGGTTTGTTGTCATTCTTGACTTTTTATCATGAAAATAGGAATCACCAACAGTGTAAACAAATGGTAGTTTAATTTCAATGAAGTTGGGAAGCCTTATGATACAAAATAAAAAGGAAAGACAACATGACACTTTCATACATTTGATGGTCAATTCTAGGAGAAATAGAAACCATTTGGGAATAAAGATTTTTATTCTTGTTCTTTTTACCGAAGATCTTAGAGAAAGCTGTCATGTATGGCATACTGCCTCTGATTTTGAGATAATTGTTGAAATATTAAAGGGACTACTGGAATTAGTAAAATCATCAGATCTCTTATCAATACAAATATATCTGAATGATTGCTACAACAGTTGCCTCAAGTTGGTGTTAGCAGCTTCTGTTAATTTTTTATTTCACAGTATTCTAATAATGTAGATTTGGGGGTGGGGTATTTAGTGTGGTTCCTATTTTCTTTTGACTATAATCTTTGTATTCTTGTTAACTGTTTAGTGAGCTTATTCTCCATTGTGCTGCTTATTACTTTACTTAATGAATTGGATGAAATAAATTAATTTTCTGAAGAAACTCATGCCACAATAAAACTTTGTTTAAAATGCTATGGTGCCTCTTACTGCTTTAAAAACATCTTCACGAATTCATCCTAAAAGACGGAATGATAGTTGGGTCACTTTTGCTAGAAATAGTTCCCTGTCTCCAAAATGTATTCTTGAATTGAATCCAAGCAGTGTAATTATAATACATATCTAAAACATTTCAAGTCAAAATGTCCATGCCTGTTTCTTGTATTTTGTTGTTTTAGAATTATTCATGCAATTAAAAATTGCAAAAAATTTTTGCACTCATAAAAAACAATTGATTGACCTAGAGTTTATTTAAAGTAACTGAAAAGACTTCTGCTTGTTTTATGCTTGGGAAGGGAGATGGGATGCTTGGGAAGGGGGATGGGATGCTTGTTTTGATTTAAATGTTTCAGTGAGTAAGAAAAGTGCTGTGTCTACTATGGATACTGTACTTATTTTTAATTTTTTTAAAAGTATCCTCTATATCAGATCTTGATATAGATCTCTCTCAGCTCAACCCACCTCACAGGGTTGTTGGGAAAAATAGAAGGAACAAATATTGGGTATGTTCACTGCCTTGAGTTACTAAAAAAGATGAGACATAATAAATTTTAAAAATAATCTGGGTGTTTTTCCCACAATACTTTGTGAACAGGGTCTAAAGCAATTATGCAGAAGAAAAAAGCTTGTAAACATGAAGAATTAAGGCTGAGGAAGTTATATGAGTGATAGTTTTGTGGGAAAATAAAGAAAGCATTGGTATAATTTGCAAATAAACTAAATTAGGATTTATTTTCCTAATTTTCTCATACAGCTATCTTAAAGATACAATAACCTTAAATCTGAACTGAACAAGCAGTCTTTTATTATTGTGAGGAAGCTTGGAATACTGAAAAAAAGGAAATAAAACAGAAATTAACCAGTGGAACATAATTGCTTTTTTCAGTTGTAAGCCCTGTTGTGCTTATTTGTAATCTGAACCCAAGAAGAGACTGGACAGTCACTTGTCTGAAATGGTATAGATTCTTCTGCTTGAGCAGGGGTCTGGATTAAAAGACCTCCAAGGTCATTCTATTCTATTCTATTCTATCCCATTCCATTCCATTCCATTCTATTCTATTCTATTCTATTCTATTCTATTCTATTCTATTCTATTCTATTCTATTCTATTGTTCTATAAGGCCTGGGTTAGAACAAGACATGAATACAGCCATTGTTTTCTTCACTCCTTTCCACTGAAGTGTTGTATGTATGATGGGAAAGCATGGACACATTTTTTAAAAAATCAGCAATAGCTAGATTAACGAAGTCCCGATAGATAAGAAGTGCTAGAAACTTGGACAATTGATTGGTTTTTGTATCCCTTTACTAACTTGGGGGAGGGCAGAGACTTAGTCTTCAAAAGGAAACCTTAAAAATGCTCATATCTTTCTATATCTCCAATATCTTTATTGCTAACCTCTCTATTTCTGTGTCTGGATCCTTCTATACAGTATCTTTATCTCACTCTCTCTTTAGAACTATACTTGTTTTCTATAGTTGTCTTTTTTTATTTCTGCTTTCTATCTCTGACCCGTTGAAGTATTTTTTTTTCCTGGTGGGGCTTCTTCATTCTTTTCCTATCTTTCCAAATATTTGCTCCATCTGAGGGAAATGACTCACAGAGTGTTTACCTCATGCCAGTATGAGGGAAGGAAAGAAACATACAGTATCTCTCCCCAGCTTTCTCAGCTGCTGCCTACTTTCCTGTTACGGCTTCTCATGTGTGTTGTTTAACTTTTACTTTCCCCTTTTACTTTGACTCCTGGGCTTTGGTTCCATTTATTCAGCCTATGGCTTCAGAGCTCTCAGGCAGCCATCCTGTCTTCCCTCTTTCTTGCCTCCTCCCAATGCTGCTGTTTGATTGGCAGCTGGATTGCCCTGACGATGGGGGAGGGCCATGAAGGGAGAAGGAGGAAGGAGCACAGGTGCTTTATTTATTTATTTATTTATTTATTTATGAGACTTATATACCGCTTTAAGTGCAAGCACTCTCTAAGCGGTGTACACCAGTAAGCAATGTATATATATATTTACATTGCCCCCAACAATCTGGGTCCTCCTTTTACCTACCCCGGAAGGATGGAAGGCTGAGTCAACCTTGAGCCGGTGAGATTTGAACCGCTGACCTGATGAACACAGTCAGCTAAAGTGGCCTGCAGTACTGCACTCTAACTGCTGCGCCACCTCGGCTGATTCAGCAGTCTGTCCTTGGCTTTCTGGAATGCCTCCTCCTTAGTGAAAAACACTGATTTCTACACACTCCCATTGTCTTGATCTTTCTGAAAGATAATGTCAAAGAAAGAATATGGCTTCTTATAGAAGAAAAAAATGGACAATATTAATTTGGGGTGTTTTATGTGTTTGCTTAATAATGCAATTTCATATGCTATTTCTTATTGGCCCAGTCTTTGCATCTTGACCCCTTCTTTGGAAATCACATTGGAAGTGGTGTACCTTCATTTCCCCATTGATCTGCAAAATTAAAACTTTAATTAGAAAAGCTGCACTGCTTTGCTCAGTCTGCCTGAACAATTGGCAGTGTTTTGCAAAAAAAAAAAAAAAAAAGTCTGCTAAAATATACTACATCAGTGTTACGAATTATGCATGATTCTTGAGTTCTAACAACAATTGCTCTTTGATCAAAGAAATGGGAACACTGAGATATAAAACTAAAAAAAAATGAAAGCCTGAAGGAAAAAAACCAACCCCAAATTTGTTCATGCTTCAGCATAGTCTCTAATTAGAAGCTGTAATAATGGTGAGGGTGATGGATGAAGAAATGAAGTGAAGCACAAAATGGCCTACCTACGAAAACTGCAGCTAATGTAAAATCTCTAAAAAGTCATCAGTGTCTGAGCTAAGCTGTCAGGGCAGATATTTCCCTGGCTTAGCTGTATGTACACTAATGAGATATAGAGTCTTTCATCTGTTGGCTGAAATCCAATGTGTCCTTGACTTCTGTGCAGTTTGAATCTTAGTACTGCAGACCAATCATATTTCTTCTGGGAGGTGTTAGGAGCAGTTTCTGAGAGGACTAAGAAGTTGAACCACATCTGGAATAGCCATGTCTCTGAGGTGCTATTATCAAAATCTAGATAGCATGATAGATATTGCTATGTGTAGTGTTCGGAAAGAGAGCAGCTGTACCCTACTATTCCTTCCTTACTTTTAGCTACACATTTAACTTGCTATGGCTGCCAGCTATCCTAAGTAAGGTGAAAGAAGCACTCACATTAACAGTGTTGAACTTTTTGTTGAAGGATAATTCATCCTTACCTCAGACAATAACCTTGGATAGACTCTGGTGACCTTGACTACTGCACTCCACGCCCAGCACATTCCTTATATTGTCACTCCTAAGGAGAAAATTAGATTTAATTAGTATATCTGAAGGTATTTCAAGGACCTTCACTGTTTTGTTGTGAGACGTTATACTCCTTAACTTATTCTATACTGTGTTATAGGTCAAGGAATCTGATATCTTAACATTTTTAAAGAAAAAATTAACAGAACGGGCTCTGAGTAAATGCAGAGGATCTGATCAGTAATAATCAGCTATGATTAATTGCAATAGCCTTGCTTAGTTAAATGATAGTCTGATGGTCATTCTGTGATTATATAATGATGTTGCTTACCCCCGAAAAGACACATTTGGAAAGAGTGGCTTATTATCTGAAACAAAATAATAGTTACTAGCTCAGTAATGGTATAGGTCCTTGAAGTATCTTCAGATATTCTAACTAAATCTAATCTTCTCCTTAGAGGAGAAAATGGAAAATATAAGGAATGATATGGGTATGGAGTGCAACAGTAGGTCACTTTTAGCAAGTAACCAGGGTTTATCCAAGGTTATTGTCTGAAATAAGGATGAATGAGCTCTTTACCCTAAAGTTCAACACTGTTAATATGATTGCATCCTTTATGTGAAAAACTTGGACAATCACAAGGTAGCAGGAAAGAGGGAGAGAGAAGTTTGATTTTTTTTGCCATCTAATTTCTTCAGACCAAACCAAAACTACTTCCCCCCCTTCTATTAGTTATTTGCATATCACTTTCTCTTAGACTTGCTTTTTGAAACCCCTGTTGTTTCCATTGTCTATAAAGTTTGAAGTTCTATAGCAAAAAACTATTTTTTCTGTTTTTCCTCTTTTTTTAATAAAAAAATTCCAAATGTAAACATTGATAGAGATCAAGTGCTGAAACAATGAAGAACACCACATACAGAGAAGACAAACAATATGAATGATGCTGTCATTTTCATTGCAAAAATTGAATTCTGAACATAATACCGCTGAATTTTGAATAATTTGTTTGGTTTTATCTTATGTTTTATTACATAATAGGGGAAAATGGAGAAAAGGGGGAAAAAGGTGCTCCAGGCCGCCCTGGACGAGTTGGACCTCCAGGGGAAAAAGGTAAATCTTATTTTAAAAATTGATTAAGCATTGGATTAACATTACATAATAATAAATGGAGAATATACTTTTTGTATATATTTTCTTAATGTCATACTTGCATATATAGGTTTGTACCTAATTAAACTCAATCTTAAGCTTTTGATTTATTAAAACTAGCATTCAGGTGGAATGGTTTATTTGAGAATTATTGGATATTGTGTTGATTGAGTTTTGTAGTGGAAAATACAAACTATTGAAGCATTTAAATCTGCTCCTCTTCTTTTGGTGCCTAGAATTGCAAAAATGTACCCAACAATGGGAGGGGGAGGGATTGGACAAGCTAATAGCAGCCCCAAATGACCCAAAATTGCTGATCAGACCTCACCCTGATTGCAACAGAACCTCATTACTTTGAAAGATGCCAGATTCTACCCCAAATAATAATTGTTTCTGGAGAAGAGGAAAAAATACCGCTTGAAAGAGTGAAAGAGTTAAGAATCACACTGTCATCTGGAAATACTCTTTGTTTTTTGTAAATTACAATTCCAGATTTATCCTTACCTCCAGAGGGAAAATGTTCCATGGCTCAGGTGCTATAGCAGAAAAGGCATATCTTCTGGGCCCAGCTAGCATTCTTTAGGCAATGGTACCCGAAGCATGCCCATCCAGCCTGACCAGATTGGATGAATAGAAAAGACTGGGGAGAAACATCTCTCAAGTAAAATTTTCCAAAATCAGCATTGTAATTTTAATTTGTTGTCTCTGAAGCTTTAAGCTCTGAGAAAATGACACAAGCCAATAATAAAGATGGATTTATTTTATCTGGAACTTTTTTTTGTTTATAAACACATGCTGGTGTGCAGTATTTTCTTCCTTGAATTACTATTACCATGTTAACTTTTTCTCTTTAGCATGTATACTCCAAGCAAATATGATGCACTCTCCCTGTGGACCATGATAACTGGAAGTAATTCTTTCAACACACATTCTTCCCTTTCTTTTTATCCTCCCTTTGCTCTTGCACATTCTGTTCCTTTCAGCTTTAACTAGAGTTAGCTTTAATTAAGACATATTATAAAATAGATACGGTGTTAGAAATTCATAAAAACAGAAGGCCTTTTAATTTGTCTTTGATTTTTTATATTATAGGAGAAGTGGGAGACAAAGGGGAGAGAGGTAGCATGGGGCGACATGGAAAAGTTGGTCCCATAGGCTCAAAAGGTATATTTTTCTTCATTCTGTGTTAAGCTTTGAACAATATATTAAGTTTAATTTTTACTAATGATATATATTTAGATATTTTTGCAGAATAAATTTTAAAAACTAACCTAAAAGTCACATGTAAGGCTTAGAAGTACGATAAAGGTATGAATTTGGGTTTCTTGATACAGGTCAGAGAAAATTATAAATATTATTTCTTCCCAATTAACTGATTTATTAACCGTGTTAGCCAGTATATTTTAAATCAGTATCAGGAAAAATTTAACACATCGATTAAGGCTTATTGTCATATCCTTCAGCACTTATTTTTATGATGTGTCATCTCATGTGCAGTTCCAGATTCGTGTGCTATCATATTTCAACATTTTAATTAAGCTCACGAAGTACCTTATCTGCACCCAGTGCAGATAATAAATTACTGGAGTCCTCCCAGCTTCACTCCACTTGGGTTTACCCAGCACTATGCTCTGTAATGAGATGGGAGCCAAGTTTTTTTTGGCTCCCAGCTCATTATTACAATCCTGGTACAGCTAGGGAAATATATGAGATAATGCAAGGGTAAGATTGATTGCCACTCCAGGCCTATCCTTGTATTCTCACATATGTTAATACAATACTTAGAACAGTCCATTTATCTCTTTTCTTTTTCCTTGTGAGCAAGTGTGAAAGGGAGATGGGACTGGCACTTTTAAGAACACTGTCACCAAGACACTTACACATTGGCAGGTAATACGATAGGGTAAAGGTATTGGAACTCCCATCCCCATCTGCCAAAATAAGCTGGAGGGAGCCTGGCTTTCTCAGTAGCATCTTCTGCCAGATCTTATTCACTCTTTCATCCAGGAAGAGATGAAGAGCCCCCATTTCCCATTTCCTCTAGTATGGAGAAAGATGTTTGGAGAGGAAAACCCTCATGAACTGGAGGATGAAGGAAACCAGGGAGAATATCTCCAGAGATTTTCTGAGTTGCCAATGATATTTGGATTTGAATTCTCACTGCACTTAGACAGTTCCAGGTTGCCATTTAAGATATCCATTCATATTCTTCTAAAAATTATTTATCTCTCTCTCTCTCTCTCTCTCTCTGTGTATTATCCAGTACTTCTAGTATACTTGCATCACATATGCCACGGCCAATGGCATTTTGATAGGATACTTGAAAAGACCACAGAGATAGCAAGTTTAAAGAGTAAATAAACAGTATTATTAATAGTATTATTAAACAATTATTAATCATTAATGATATCGATGCTAGGGACACACTAAAAAGTTCTGAAGCATCTTAAATTTTATTCCTTAGTTGCAGGAATGTATTTTCTTCAAGAAATTGTCAGATGTCATTCAATAAAATTACATTATGTTTATTTTGATTTTGAAACACATTAATGTATAAATTACATTTGATTTCAATAGGCATTACTTTCCCAGTTATGTATTGTAAAGATAATATCCAAGCTTGATAATGTATTGATACTGAATAAAATCTCATTTGCTGAGAAACTGAATTGTCTTTTTTCTTAGGACAAAAAGGAGATAATGGAGATATAGGTCCACCTGGTCCTAATGGAGATCCAGGTAAATTATATTGGAACTGGCTGTACTATCTCTCAGAGTCCATTTTGCAATTTAATAACTCTTAAGTTATATGAATAATGCTAGTGTCTTATAGGTAGGCGTAAGAAAATATGGCAAGGCGTATTAGGACTGTGTAATTTCTATGCATGTGCAAGTCCTCCTCCCATGTTCACTAATACAGGTAGTCCTCAACTTAAGACCACGACTGAGCCTAAAATTTATGTCGCTAAGTGAGACATTTCTTGAGTTTTACCCCATTTTACGACCGTTCTTTCTACAGTTGTTAAGTGAATCACTGCAGTTCTTTTTTTTTTTTTTTTTTATTTTTTTTTTATTGAAAGTTTTATAAATTTTACAAAAAAGGAAAAATAATACAAAACAAAAGGCAACATATACAGAAAAATAAAACTAAACAATACATATATTAAATAAAAAAAAAAAACCCCATCCCCCAGCCCTCCCAAAAAAAAAACAAAAAACCCTCCCTTCCCCCCCCCCGAGCTTCCCAGAGCAGAATATAGGCTTAAAAAATAAAAATAAAAATTAAATTAAAAACTTTATATTTATATATATAAAAAAATTATCTATAATATATATGAAAATAAAACTTATGAAAAAACTATATAATATTTTTGTATACCCAATCTAAATTGTATAAATTTTATCCATTTATCCCAAACAGCAAAAAACTTCTCTTGCGTTTGTTGCTTTAAGAAAGCCGAAATCTTTGCCATTTCTGCCAGATAAGCTACTTTAAGAAACCATTCCTGCAATGTAGGCAAAGATTCCTTCTTCCAGTATTGTCCTACTAACAGCCTAGCGGCTGTGATCAAGTTTAACATCAATACAACCTCCTTTGTATCACAATCTGTAACAATACCTAACAAAAATAATTGCGGAGTAAATTTTACCCTCCTTCTAAAAATTCTCTGGATATTCCACCATATTTTAATCCAAAATGCTTTTATCTCTCTGCATGACCACCAAATATGATAATAAGAAGCCTCCTTATAACCACATCTCCAACATTTGGGTTGCACGTCAGGATACATATAAGACATTTTTTGTGGATCAAGGTGCCATCTATAAAACATTTTATAAAAATTCTCCCTTAAGTTCTGTGCTTGAGTAAATTTGACATTTCTCACCCAAATAGTTTCCCAGGTGTCCAATGAAACTGGCTCACCAAAGTTCTGCGCCCATCTAATCATACAATCTTTAATTAGTTCCGTTTCTGAGTCCAATTCAACTAAAACCCCATAAATTCTCTTAATGTGGGTTTGTCTTTGATCCTTCAGTTGCTTAATAAGATTTTCATCTTCTCTAAGAAAACCCACCTTACAATCCATCTTCCATCTATCTAATAGTTGCCTATATTGGAACCAAGAATAAGTAAAATTTTCTTGTGCTAACTCTTCCCGTGATTTTAATTGCCAGTTTTGTCCATCCCATTTAAGTAACTGTCTATAAGACACCATATCCATTTTAACCCCTCTTTTTATTCCTTCTATCGCATGCCAAGGTATAGCCCATAATGGTACTTTAAAATCACTTTTATAATATTTTCTCCAAATCCTAAGTAAAGAAATTCTTAAAATATGAGATTTAAAAGCCCAATCTATTTTTTTATTAAATATTAAATAGGCATGCCACCCATAAAGTAAATCCCATCCCTCTAAGTAAAGTATCTCAGAATTTGTCAAATTTACCCAATCACTAATTAATGTTAAAACCACCGCATCATAATATAATTTCAAATTTGGTACCTTAAGTCCACCCCTCTCACGGAAGTCTTGCATAATTTTAAACTTAACCCTTGGTTTTTTCCCTGCCCAAATAAATTTGTTGAGACCCTTCTGCCACTCATTTAAATTAATCTCATTTTTCAAAATTGGTAACATTTGAAACAAAAAAAGAAACTTGGGTAGAATATTCATTTTTATCACTGCAATTCTTCCCATGAGGGATAATTGCAACTTTTCCCAATTCTTCAAGTCCTTCTGTACCCTGACCCACAACCTTTCATAATTATTTTTAAATAATTTTGCATTAGAAACAGACAGCATCACCCCCAAATATTTTACCTTATTAACAATCTCAAAACCCGTCAAGTTGACCAAAATCTGCTTCTCCTGACTCGACATATTTTTAGGTAAAATTTTAGTCTTATTTACGTTAATCTTAAAACCCGAGACCAAACCATAATGATGAATCAACTGTAATAAGTTTACTACAGAATAATCAGGTTGCGACAAAGTAACAACCAAGTCATCCGCAAAAGCTCTCAACTTATATTCTTTTTTATTAACATATATTCCTTTAATTTCCTGAGACTCTCGAATTTTGATCAATAATATTTCCAATGTTAAAACAAACAACAATGGCGATAAAGGACACCCCTGTCTAGTACCTTTCTCTATTGTAAAAACCTCCGACAAACCTCCATTAACAATAAGTTGTGCCGTTTGTTTTTGATATATTACCGTAAGGGCTTGTAATATCTTTTCACCAAAATTCATTTCTTCCATTACTCTTAACATAAAATGCCAATTCAATTGATCAAATGCTTTTTCAGCATCTAAAAATATGAGCCCTGCAGGAACTTGGTTGTTCTTGTCTAAATATTCTAGTAAATTAATAATTTGTCTGACATTATTTTTCATATACCTTCCTGTTATAAATCCTGATTGATCTTTATGCACAAGATGATGCACCACCCTCATAAGCCTATTTACCAAAATTTTTACAAATATCTTATAATCCACATTTAAAAGAGATATAGGCCTGTAATTTTTTGGTAGGGTAAGATCTTGATCCTCCTTTGGAATCAATGATATAAAAGCACTACGCCATGAAGGAGGAATCTCTAAACCCTGTAAAATACCATTAAAAAGATCATGTAATGGTTGGATCATCTCCTCTATTAGAACTTTGTAATAAACAGCTGTTAACCCATCCGTACCCGGTGCTTTCCCTAATTTCAATTGTTGAATTGCTGAGGTAATTTCCTCCTTAGTAATTAAACCATTAATTTCATATTTCTGATCCTCAGTCAGTTTAGGAAAACTTGCCTCAGCTAAATATTTATTTATATCTAGCATTTGTATATTAGTAGATTTATATAGGTTTTGATAATAATCCAAAAAAGATTTTTTAATCAATTCCTTCTGAAAAACTAATTTACCCTTATAGTTTATTTTCTCTATTATTCTTTGTCTCTGTTTCTTTCTTAATTGATAAGCCAACCATCTCCCAGGCTTATTGGCATTACAAAATGTATTTTGTTTCATAAATAATAAGTTGGTTGCAGCTTGGTCTGCTATCAACATATTAAATTGTGACCTTAATAACTTTACAGATTCTTTAATACTCTCATCAGAAGGATTTAAAATCAAAGCCCTTTCTTTTAATTTAATTTCATCTTCAAGTTCTCTACGTTTCTGAATCTGATTTCGCTTATAAAAATTATTCATTTTTATCAAAACACCGCGCATAAATGCTTTACCTGCATCCCATACCATTGACATTGAAGTCCCCTTATACATATTCAAAGCAAAATAGTCCTTTAAACACTCCTTTAGTTTTTGAACATTCTTTTCTTGTCTAAACAAATTTTCATTAACTCTCCAGGATCTTCTTTCCTCTTTCTCTTGAATCAGCTCCATCCAAACTGGACTATGATCCGTCAGTGATCTAGGAAAAATCTTTACATTCTTTACTTTATTATACAAGTCCGTGGTAATCAAGAAAAAGTCAATTCTTGAAAAAGATTGGTGTCTATCAGAAAAAAAAGTAAAGTCTCTCTCCTCTTGATTACGTTCCCGCCAATAATCCCTTAATTCCCAGTCTTCTTTCATGTCAAAAAAGGCTTTAGGTAGCCTTGCTTGTTTAAGAAAAGGAGAGGAACCTTTCTTATCCCTTAGTGTATCTAAGACACCATTCCAATCACCCATTAATACCACTGATCTATAATCAAGCAAAGTTATTTTTTGATGTAACTGTTTATAAAATTGTTCCTGTTGTTGATTTGGAGCGTAAAGTCCAACTATAAGTACTTTCTTACCATATATACCAAGTTCAATCATCACATATCTCCCCTGGGGATCTGATTCTACCAGACAAGCTGGTAGGTTTTGTTTAACATATATAACAACTCCCCCTTTCTTCCCAGGAGCAGGAGATATAAAATGAGATCCCAAACGAGCATTAACTAAATATTTCTGGTCTTTAAGTAAAATATGAGTTTCCTGTAGACAAATAACATCATTGGTATGTTGCTTCAAATAATAAAAGATTTTTTTCCGTTTCTGAGGAGAATTCAATCCATTAACATTCCAGGTCAAAAACTTTGCCATCTCCCTTGGCACGCAGCCTGGAGAAGACACCATCAAAATCTGACAGAGCTGCGTGTGTTGCATAACTCTTGGGTCTTGCTCCTCCCACCGGCGGTGAAGCACTTCCAGGAGAACTCTCTTTGGGCTCTTTTTTACGTTGCTCCTTCTCTTTACGCTTATAGGCTGCACGAGTCATCCTCTGCTCTTTAGCCTCCGTCTGGCGTTGCTTTGCCGCTTCTATCATCCCTGCGGAAACCAAATCTAATGCCTCAGATTGCTGCTCAGCTTCCTTACCACTCAAAGATTTCCGACCAGATGAAGTTGAGCCTGCACCCAGGACCGAAGTATAAAAATCTCTAGCTTTATCAACTGTATTCAATCTGTAGCGTGTCCCAGCATGGCTCAAAACAATACCCATCGGAATTTCCCATCTAAATGGCATCGATCTAGCTTTAAGCTCATTGGTTAAAAAAGCAAAGTCTTTTCTACTTCTTAAAATTTTGGATGGGATTTCCTTTAGAATGATGACATCTTGGGCGGCAATCTGAAATCTTTTGTTGTAAAAGGCTTGTATAATCTCATTCCGCAGGGACTTCTTTGTAAAGTAAATCACCACATCTCTAGGCAAATTCTTCTGCTTAGCAATCCAGGAGTTGAGTCTATAAATTTTTTCCACTTCTCTCTGTAATTCTCCTTTATCCATATCCAAGGCCAGCGCCAGATCAGTAAGGACCACCTCCACCAAATCTTGATTGATATCTTCCTTGAGGCCTCTAATCCTCAGGGCATACTCCATCTGTCTGTACTGAAACATCAAAATATCTTCTTGTGAGGAGTCCACCTTCCTTTCCACGTCTTGAATTTTGTCATCCAAAGAGTCAACTTTGTCTTCCACTTCCTCAAGCCTTGCGTCGAGCTTAACCACCACAGTAGCCAAACCTGAAACAGCTGCCAATATATCTTGTCGTAGTTCATTATTATTTTCTTGCAATTTAGACTTTATCCCCGTTATCTCTTCTTTGAGATCAGATTTAATTTCTGATTTAATCTGTGAAACAAATTGATTCATTTCCTCTCTCATTTGAACTACAATCTCTCCCATTATGCCTCTAACCTCTTGTACTGAAAGTCCAGGTAGAGGAGGGGAGGGTGGTGGCTGAGCCGGTGGTACATGTTTAGATTGTTGTTGTAGCTGTGCAGTGGAAGTTATAGGAGAAGAAATAACCTTAGGTGCTGAGGAAGGCTGCTGCCTCTTTGAAGCCATTTTAAAAAGCACAATTGTCACTTCCCTTTCCCCTCCAGCCAAAAAGGGAGGAGGAAAGGAAAAAAAAAAAATTTTTTAAAAAGAGACAAACTATAGTCATTAAAAGTCCAGAGTAAATCCAAAGAATAAGTAGTAAAAGAGCAAACAGTTCAAAAGAAAAAATTCTAAACCAAAAGCAAAAGCAGAAGCAAAAAACAGTCCTTAGAAAGGGAAAGTAAAACAAAAGAGAAAGGAAAAAAAACTCCGACAGTTTCAAAACGCCATCTTAAATCCTTTCACTAGTATAACAAAAAAAGGAGGAAAAATAGTAAAAATCAAAAGATAAAAAAATAAACACCTAAAATATAACAAAAAATCCTTTAAACTGCTCCGTCCGTTTAAAAATTACTCACCAAAATGCTGTAAACACGGAGATAGAAGCGGCGGTTTCTTTTGCTTCCTAGGAAGCAAAAACAGCTGGGAGGCGGAGATCAGCAAGAGCTCCGAGGGAACACTCCTTTCACCCCCTCTAGAAATAAATCCAGAGGGGGTTCAGGGGTTCTACCTCTACTCTTGCGTTCTCTGTCCCTTCCCTTTGCCCGGGAAGGGATTTCCGAGCCGCGGGCCAGCTGATGCGCGCTGCGCTCCGCGGCTCTGACACTTCCCCAGCTGGACGGCTAAAAGCTAGCCGCCATCGCCGTCGCCTCCCACCGGAAGCTCATCACTGCAGTTCTTAAGTAAGTAACATGGTTGTTAAGTGAATCTGGCTTCCCCATTGACTTTGCTTATCAGAAAGTCACAAAAAGGGATCTCATGACACTGGAAAACTACAACCGTTATAAATATAAACCAGTTGCCAAGCATCTGAACTTTGATTGGGTAACCCTGGGGATGCTGAAACAGTTGTGTGAAAAATGTTCATAAGTCACTTTTATCAGTACCTTGGTAACTTTGAATAGTCACTAAGCAAACTGTTGTAAGTTGAGGACTACCTGTACACTTGATTTAGTCTCTTGTTTTCATCATAGATTCCTATTATACAGAAAATCACAGGAAGGAATCTAAGTGAGAATGACCTAGCTTAAATGTGGTCACCTTGCATCAGAATAGGAAAGCCCTGCTTAAACACAGTTAACTGAGTTCTCTGTTCAGAAAAAAAAAAGTTATTCCTGTGGTTCTTCTCCATGGGGAAGCCTGTGTGGAGAAGATGAGCATTTGAAGCCAAAATAGTGCAATCTAAATATGAATTTATATGACTTTCAGGACTGGTTGTTGGTGAACACAGAGAAAAGAGTAGTATAGTAATGCACTTATATCTGTTTTATGGGCTTTTTGTCAACTTTGGTTGGGCTTGATGGAAAAAGAGTGTTCCATTAAGTAGGCCTTTGAACTGTTCTTATATTTTTTTTAGGTATTCCTTGTGAATGTGGCCAACTACGAACAGCCATTGGTAAAATGGATAATCAAGTGACCCTGCTGACAACAGAGCTGAAGTTCATTAAAAAAGGTAAGGATGTTTATGGAAACATATTTCCCCTCCTAAATATAAGAAATTGTTTTCTGAAGAATCTGGCTTGCTTTTTAGTTGGTCAGCTGTGTCTGTCTTATATGGAATGCATTAAGTAAGTTTATAGAAATGCAAGTGGTCACTTTTCAGCACTGCCCTCCTCCGCAGCTGTTGCTGGTGTGCGCGAGACAGATAATAAGACATACCTGCTGGTGAAAGAACAGAAGCGATATGTGGACGCCCAGCTGTACTGCCAAGGAAGAGGAGGGATCCTGAGCATGCCCAAGGATGAAGCCACCAACAATCTCATTGCTTCCTACATCAATCAAGCTGGCCTCAGTCGAGTTTTCATTGGCATTAATGACCTTGAGAAGGAAGGCAGCTTTGTCTACTCTGACCGATCCCCTATGCAGACCTTCAACAAGTGGAGCACTGGTGAACCAAATAATGCTTATGATGAGGAGGACTGTGTAGAAATGATCACCTCTGGGGGATGGAATGATGTGGCTTGTCACATTACAATGAATTTTGTATGCGAATTTGACAAAGAAAATGTTTAATAAAGTTTCCCCCTGCTAGGCTCTCTATATCAATTTCTTTGGGGGAAGGTGAATAATTTGGGCAGTCCAACTATTATTGTAACCAGTACTTCAATTTCTAGATTGATTTTATATGGTTTTTTGTTTTGTTTATGAGATCCTTTGTATCAGTGTGTAAAACTGTCCCAAGGTAGTTTTATCCTCATCCCTTCTTTTTATTCACATTTTTTTCAAGCAATCCCACCATCAACACACACACAATTAAAAAGTTTTGTAAAATTTCTCTTTCTTTTGTGCAGGTCCTGAGTATGGACCTTTCCCTCTATACTTGTGAGTATAGTGGGGTACAGGTAAGAGAAAAGTAATGTAGGAAATAAACCTTATTTATTAGATATGGCTATTTATAGTTACCCACTACAGAGAAGGGAAGTAATATTTCTCATGCGTTTACTTCACTCTTATTTGGCATTAGCGCTTGTTTTTTTATTAATTAAACCATTTTTGGTATTTTGATCTTAGAAAAATCATTTTTTTTCAGGATGACTTATAAGTAACTCCTCTTTTATCATTTCACCTGCAGATAACATGAACCCACAATATGTTCAATGCTTTTGCCTATATATATATATATATATATATATATATATATATATATATATATATATGTATATATATATATGTATATATATATTTGTGTGTGCATGTCAGTATATACAATGCAGGGAATCGCATTGTTTAGCTGTCCACGCAACAGGTAAAAGTGCGAAACATCTTTTGCACAGCTGAAGATATGTGGCTCACTAGGTAGGCTCATTCCTGTACAATACACAAAGAAGTATCTAACCATGTAGTAAACAGAAATCCAATAATTTTTGAAATGAAGACTTATCTTTTTAATAGGACTTTGATTACCGTTGCTGTGGATAGAGTGTGATCTGGATAAAAGTTGGCACATAGGAACATGACATACTTTTAAGAGCAGTGTTGAGAAGTTATTGAACAATGGTAGTAAAATGTAAATATCAGGAAAAGCAACAAAGGATGTTAATTTGTAAACTGACCCTAATCCTAATTACTCCTAAAGTGATGGATTAGAATATATTTAGAAGTAAATGATGTTATAACATCATTTAAATCTATATAATTTTATATAATTTTATATATATATATAAATATATAAAATATATAATTTACAGCTGTAAATATAATCTAGGTATTTCAAATATCAATGTTTACCCTTTAGAAGAAAAGAACAGAGATGACACAATTTGCATTCCTGAAATAAATACAGCCCACATTTAGGCAGTGCTTAGCTGTTTGAAATTACTGAGCTTTAAACTTTGTTCTGTCCAGAAATCTATAAACTCTTGACTCAAAAATTTCAATTTCTTCACTTTTGAGATGAATAAAAGCTTTTAGGATATTTTAAATAATATGTTTGTGATTTCCTTTTTTAAACAAAACACTTATTCTTTAAACAAGAATTCATGTTGATGTGGTTTCTTAAATATATCTTCAGGAGAATAGTAATTTCTGAAAGTTAGCACACTACTTCCTCATATTCTCTATTATGTTAAATATTTAAGAGTTAAAATATTTGCAGCTGTAAATTTCCTGGACTGAATTAATTTAAGTGAACAGTCCAAGTAGCATTTAATGGTTTATAACTCGACAATAGGAAATTAAAAGAAGATTATAGAAAGTATAAAACTATTTTCATAGGTTTAGGGTAGCTGGCATGCTTATGTCTATGTACGAATGGTTGAGGTTAAAAAAATGAATTTAAGCAGATCTGTTATCCATGCAGTTTTATGATGATCAGGCTTGGACTGCAAAGTCTTGATGAGCAGCAGATGGCAGCAAGGATTTAATGTTTTTTTTTTTAAATCTATAGGTTATTATGCACTATAATAGTTGTTGTAATTTTTGCATCCAAGGTCTGATAATATGAAATTTTTTAATGGTTTTGCTTTATTTCTGCCATTGTAAGCAAGGAGAAGCTGAGTATCACCCATCCTGGTACTAAATCCTGAATTAATTTACCTAATGTTAACCATTATTCCACCTAAGACTAAGATTAGTTACAACTGCAAATTAACTCTTTGTGAAGTTCTGTATCTGTAATTAGGATGACTGAGTTCTAAATCCCATGACAGAAGAACATTCAGTTGAAAGCAACATGCTTCTACCTGGATTACAACGGAGGAGGTGCATATGAAAAGACTGAAATTAAAATTAAATTTAGCATGTTTTTATTTCATCAGCAAAAATAAATCCATATGAAGTCTGAGACAAATCCCAGCTGTAAGAACTGTATATTAATTTAATTGGCTTCTCAAGGTTGCTAGTATTGGAAGTAAACTGGGATATGTTTATTAATATGAATGAGCTACAAAATTAACTCCAGCATGCAAATAAAACTTAAAACTGATTAACTGTCTCTGTTTGACTTTGGGGGAATCTAGAACCCTACAGCTTTCTTACCACAAACAGTATCAGTGGCTTATAGTTTCACAGCAGCACAAAGGAACAAGTCAGTTAATAATTTTTTAGACCTGTGTATGGATAACCAACTGCATATGTTTATTTAATAAATATAATTAATAAAGATGTTCAATTTGAATATTTGCTATGATTGATTATAGGTTTAGGTTTACTTTATTATGTTATATTAAACTTACCTACATTGAGCTACATTGTTATACATAACCTATATTGTTATGGCATTTCTAAATAAGTCATTGAATCAGCTGCAGGGTACATTAGGTGAACAAAACATTTTCAGTTAGCATGAGTCTTCCTTGCCTTCCACTCCACTATACCAATGAGCCCTCACAGACTGTTTCAGTGTGTTGTTTATAGCTAGTAGTAAAGATGTTAAATAAGGACTTGGGGGATGACAAAAGCAGATTTGGTGAATGGGTGGATCTTTAGTTCTCAACTTATCTCACAAAGTGATTGTGAAAAATGAAGGTCTATGTACCAGTGCTCTTTAGTGCTTCAAATTCCCTTCCCAAAAGGTGCTTCTGGGGATGTGAACATAATTAAAGGGGTTATATTTTTCCCTGGATCATATGACAGTTGCAGAAGACAAAGTCCCCAAAAAGATTAAATTTCTTTAAAGAATTGCAGACAAGATGCTCAATTGGCACTTCAATGTGCTCCAAGCTACTTTTTGGGAACTAAATCTGAAATGCTTTACGGCCCACCCATGTATGCCATCTTGATTTCATATAGAGGAGGAAAGATATAAAGGACCAAAACATTTTTTTTTTAAAAAAAATGGGATACTGATCTCAAAAAAATCAAAATTTAAATGGCTAAAATATAATATTCACTTACTTAGCATAATATACACAAACCGGCAAGAGATTCTACTAGATGATAATTAAGAAACTTTCAGATCCTTACAATCTATGATTCTAAGACTGAACATGTTTTGAAAAACCTGTTAGCAACTAGCACATGAGCATACAACAATTTTATTTCTTGTATGTTTGCTTTCAAAATAATTATTAAAATAATTAATAATTTTATGCACAAGAGAATAAAAAGTTTTATCTTATTTTGTTGAGTTTTTCTTTTGCTCCCTTTTATCTTTCTGAAAAAGGTAAAATCTGATAGTAATACATTTTTAAGAGAATTTACCTGTTAATTTATTTAGTATCAAAAAGTTTGACTTTTTCTTCTATGACAGATGGTCCTATTTCCATATATATATTATACTTTCCATGTAACAATTTCCTTTTTGTTCCTATTAAACATTACAGTTTGGCAGCAAATCCAATCTTTAAATGCAACGCTAGGATAAGAACTTGTAAATTGTTCTAATTTTGTAATTATCCTTTTGGATCCACAGGGATGCAGAATGAATCTATGGAGACCTGAAAGCCTATGAATTACAAGAATTCCAATACTGTTGCAGAAAAAAAAGCATAGTCCAGACTATGACCACAAAACACTGCACCACTTTTAAGTCTACAATGGTGGGCAGTCAAAGGGCTGAGAAGTTCCAAAGTGCAAGAAAAGGCTCTTTTACAGTCCAGGTCCACTTGGGAACCTGCATTACTCTCACATATATTGTTGTCTGGGTGCAGTTCTATAATCCAGCTGTCTGAAGATAGTTTGCACTATAATATTGAATTGCGATTGTTTTGAACATGAGACAATCATCAGAAGGGGATGCTGCTGCTTTTATCAGATTGATGAGACCCCGTTCCCAGGCAGCTGATGCCTATTTAAGAGAGGACAGCCACTGCTTTCAAAGGTGCCAGGTCAAAATTTCTAGGACTCAGATGTCCTGGGGAATCCTCACAAGTGAAAACCAAATTCTCTCTCTTTACTGACACTTTTCCAAACATGAGAATCAGATATTTGATCTGAGCGGTAGGGAAAATGGAAGATTTTAACCCACAAATCAGCTGATCCTCAGCATTGGAGAAATAGTGGTTAAGATAATAAAGTTTGGTTTGAAAGAAATGGATTTTTCCATTGTCTAAATCAGAATGATTCCGGGCCTGGAGAAGAAGCAGCATAACCTACCAATTTTTCAATAGGTGCTCAGCTGATTCTAGTATCTCTGAAAGGTATTCTAACACAGCTATCAGGAATTGGCAGCTAACTATAGTTTATTTTATTTTTTTTTATTTTTAAAATTTATAAGCCGCCCCACTCCCGAAGGACTCTGGGCGTCTAACAATAAAAAACACATAAAACAATACAAAAACAATCATCCAGGGGTAAGGTTTTATAAACCCCAGGCCTGCCGGAAAAGCCAGGTTTTAAGTAGCTTACGGAAGACCAACAGGGTGGGAGCGGTCCTAATCTCCAGGGGGAGCTGATTCCAAAGCGTGGGCGCCATCACAGAGAAGGCCCTCCTCCGCGGCCCCGCCAAATGGCACTGCTTGGCCGACGGGGCCCGAAGGAGGCCCAGCCTGTGGGATCTAACTGGACGTAGGGAACTATGAGGTAGTAGGCGGTCTCGCAAATAGCCTGGCCCTGAGCCATATAGGGCTTTAAAGGTAATGACCAACACCTTG